CTTAATGTTCTTCCTAAGGATAACAATGGATTGAATCAAATTTAAATATAAAAAAAATAAAAAAATCATCAAATTGATTTAAGTATCATAAATATAAATCAAATAAAATTTGGAATGAACAACTAGACTCAAAATCGATTTTCAAAAAAAAATCAAATCGAATCAAAATTCGTTAGAAATAGATTGAGCTATCATTCCTAATTCTTCCCATCATGGCATTTTCCTTTTTCCTTTTAATTACCGATGATATATATGCACTTCATTTTTACTTTTGAGTTAATTTTGGTTCAATTAATTATCATTGTATTAGAGTGGTGATAAAAATCTCACTAACAACGCTTCATGTCTATAATTAATTAAAGTAGGCATTGTACCCATTTGTTAACTTATGTGATATATTCATTATTTGTATATGTGATAAATTCATTATTTTTATTTTTAAAAGAGAATATTAAAATGTTAATCTGTATTTATTGTTAATTGATTTTAAATTAAATACGGCAACGCTAAATTATGATCTACCTACAAAGGTTTCAATTCTGATCTCCTTGCCACTGTTTTGCAAATGCATATTTGAAAAGTATAAAGCATCATGCAAATTAAGATGGCGATCGACGAAAGATTTGGTCTATAGTTTTAAAAACTAATAACAGCGAAGTTGATCGCCTAATGATTAAGACCTTGGAAATTAATTAACGAGGTTGGTCAAGGGTTTTAAATATACTAAACTTGGAATCTTTAAGTCTTAGTGAAGACAGAATCAATGCCATAAACATAAGGTAAAGGCTATCTATTCCTTAACCGGCTCAAGGGCATGTCCGTATCTATGAAATTTCAAGGCGAGACTCTTAAGAAAAATTCTGACGTGTTGTTTGACAAAGAATGATCAAACTCTTAAGAAAGAATTCAACATATTGTTTAATAGAATGAAGCTAGATGATGCGATTTGGACGATGTTACATACACATAAGAAACATTCACATAAATGTGCATATCATATTTTTCAAAAATAAATAATAAGATAGCATTTTTTTATTAAGTTAAAAAATTGATTTGAAAAAAAAAATCAATTACGTGTACATATGCATTTTTTTTGTACAACAAAAATTACAATTTAAGGATAAGTGAAGAAATTATAGGTTTAAAGTTTAAAATCTTATATTTATTAGATATTATCTTTAAACTATGATTATATGAATCAATTAATATAAATTTTAGATATATACATATGTATATGTTTTATGTGTATATAACCTTTCCCATGTCATTATTTTCTTCTCCAATTTGGACAAAATTGTAGGTAAAAAAACTCTTTGCTTGCTCTATTTAGCATTTTCCCTTTAACAAATTTGTATTTTTTTAAAAACTTATAGTCTAGTAGGGTTTTTTTTTTTTTTTTTTTTTTTGGAGTATTTACCTCTTGAATCAAATAATGGAAAATGGTGGGTTTTAGTATAAGCCTAAATGTTTTTCGCAGCTTTGGGTCCTTTGTAAACAACTCCTTTAGGACCTTTTTGGGCCATTTATCACATTAAGGCGATTGTTTTCCAAAAAGTCCGACATAGGGAATATTAGATCACGGACAAGAGGCCCAAAATTAGCCCAATTGTTAGTTATTACTTACTATAAGGATATACCAAACTTAAACCTACCATGCTCACAGGGATAGCCCCAGTTGAGTTACAGCAAAAATTCAACAAATAATCGCTTAAAATATTTGCTCAGATAAAAAAATATTACCCATCCTTCTGAAGCCTAGGAGGTTTAACATTATCTTCAGTAGCAAGCAACTATTCCTCTTTACTTTACTAGCTTAGTGCTCACGCCCAGCATTGTGTTCAGGTGAATTTCTTTAAAATTGTTCACCAGGCAGGCTTGATCTTCAAGTCAACTTGGGGTCAGTTTCAGAGTCGAGGATTTCAAGTTCGAATTACAATAATAACTCCTCTTTGGTTCAAATTTAACAAAAACGAAAGAAACATATAATAAGGGAAAGTTCTAGCTTTGCTTGAATTGAAAGTTGTCGAATTGCTTCTTTTCGCACCAACTCTAATTTTTGGTCTTGAAAGTCCAAAGTGCCAAACTATCCTTGTAAAATGTTTTTGCGTTTTTGTTTGACATTTCAAACCCACATTAGAACTTCTTAAATGTAATAGAATATTATGCATATATATATTTATAAAGTAATCAAATTATTCATGGCAACCCTAACAACCACCCTTAAATTTGCATGCTATAAAGTATATATCTATCCAACCTTGCTTAGACAAACCATTTTTTCTAATTGTAACTTTAGATTTTTTTTAGAATGTTCAGCAACTTGTCCCTGGTGTAGAAGCTTTAAAAAAAAATTAAACCTAGTGAGGGTGGTTCAATTACATTCACAAACAAAAAAGAAACCAAAAAAAAAAAAAAAGAGAAGATATAAAATGCTGAAAGAGAGCCCAAAATTAACGGACTTTCGGGTGAGAGGTCAACATTTTAGGCAGGCCACTCAGGCACGCCGTCCCTTCTCTGCTTGCTTCACTTCAATTTCGTTTCTGTTGCCTTTCCGTCTTTGACTTTTGGCCTCTTGCCTCGTGCGTTGTCAGCTCTGCAGGTTCATGGAAATTGCATTTGGGTTCAGATTCATGCAAGTTGAGAGGCGGACCCCCAACTTGAATTTGGGTTGCAAAGCTCGTGACTGAAATTTGGACCTTTCGGTTCATTTTCCTTAGTAAATTATTATGGTGGTCTGGATTTAGAAAACGGAAGCATGGCCGCGATTGGTGCACCAACCTGGTGTGACTTGTGAGTGTGAACTGTGAAGACGGTTCAGAGACGTCACCATCTTCGCGTGCATGTGATCATACTTACTAGCTACTATTTTATTCAATTCATGATCCCTTCCCTTCACACGTGGCATTGCTGTAACATTTTTTGTATTGACTTGTACACTTTGAACAGATCCAGTGAATGTTGACCAAATATATAAGCTAAGCACTGATGAAGTTGGAGGAAAATCGACACACACACACACGTGTGTATATATATATATATATGTATAGGATTTAATATATGGGACATTAAATGAGTTTTTTTTTTCTTATGATTCTATATATTTTGGTTTTTGCATTTGGAAGGAAAGAAAAAAAAATGAAGATGGTAGTTACTGTAGTGGCAAACTGGCAATGAAGAAAAGTTGAATTAGGGTTTATGATAAGTTTTAATTTACTTTTTAAATAAGACTGACAAAAAAATTGTAAATTATCAAGATTTAAATTTTATATTTATTAGGTATTATTTTTTAAGAATAATTATATCAAACAGCATAATTAATCTTCAAATTCATAATGTATATTCTTTCATAACTTTTTTTTTTATAATAATTTTTTCAAATTTAAGAAGTTTAATTATAAAACTAATATCTTTTTTTTTATATATATAATTGAAGTTATGAATCATACTCACTAATATTAAAATTTAATATTTTAGCAACAAACTGTACAGCTGTTGACCACTAATAATTCATTTAAAAATTAAAAAAGGAAAGAAAAAAAAAGCTGAGAATATATTACTAGTAAAATGACCAAAAAAAAAAAATGCTGTGAAAGACATGTGGTCCAATATATCTATGTGGAATTCAAAACATGTGAATCCATGTGGTGGATGAAGAAACACTTAATCAACAGAGTCGATAAGCGATTAAAGTCAAGTTCCACGTAGTTGGAGTTAAAGAATAAAATTTAAATTCGAACCATATCCTCGTTGGAAATGCCATTGGCGATATCAGGATCAAGGAATAAGAACTTTGCAACACTTGCTAATGACAACAATATTCCAATATTTCTATAAAAAAAAATTCACTGAAGTGAGATTTGAATAGTAATTTTTGTTGGCATATTTGATATCAGATTATATAACGATAGATACTGTTTTTATATATATACACATTATGGTTAGAGACTCTTTTAATTTTAAGTTTGACCTAAATTTAATTTTCACTTCAAACATTTTTAAAGACTATTTTTAATATCGATCAGATTTTGATTAATAAAAATAAGAAACTACTTTACTAATCAATGGAATTAATCCTTACAATTTGAGAAATAATTTTCTCTCCTTTTATAAATCTCATTCATTCATTTAAAAGTCAAACTTGTAACCTCCAAAATAGATCTTAAACTCTAACTATGGTTGGCAAAAAAAAAAAATAAAAATCTAACGTTGGAAATGAAAAGAATGTAACCTTCATTATCCGACCTTATATCCTACACAACTAAAAAAAATGACAAAGGTTAAGAAATTTGCCCAAAATATTAAGTGAACTGTGCCATGCTGGCAACAACTTTCCTCTTAATCTGCTATAAAAAGTTATACTCGCTCTGTCCTTATTTTCTTTGTCCATAATTTTTTTTTTTGATGTTCAAAATTATGTTTTTTCATATTTAAAATATTTATTTTTTATATTTTTAAATTATATTTTAATTTTGTTTATTTTTTAACGTTAAAAGTTATAAAACTTTAATTTTAATTATTTGATATTAAAATTAATTTTAAAAAAATTTGTAAAAATTAACACAGCTCAAATATTTTAACACAGACAGAATGTAAATGATTGAATCTTACGGATCGGCGGCTTAGGACAAAGTTTTGACTCATCACCCCCCGTGTCCCAACCTCCTCAGACCAATTTAACCTGTATGGACCACGTATTCAGATCAAGACATGAAGTCAATGTCTCCACATATAAAATTTTCAATAATTAACCATAATCTTGATTATTAGGCAGAAGAAATTTGAGAAAATTGTCGTAAAAATTTTAAAAAAAAGTTTGGTCTTGAAGAGCAAGTAACCTATGGTTACTAGATCCTACTTACTAAATAAAAATAATAATTTATTTTTTTGATGTGGTTGGATCTTATTCGTACCTACATTTGACGGCAAATGGTAAGATGACAGGACAGTCACGTTGTTGACCAATAGGGTTCCATAGCGGATGGCATCAGTTTGACCGAAAGTCCAGCTTTCCCTTTATCAACGGCCCTTCCTCCCCTCGTTTTCTTTTCACTCCTTTGGCTCTTTATTTTTTCTCTCTCTGAATGGTTTTGTTGCAGACATGGCCGTGGAGCTCAGGATGAGTTACAGGAACAGCAACAGCTTCGCAGCCAAAATGGAAGAAAACGTAGTCCAAGAAGCAGCTTCTGGGCTTGAAAGTGTTGAGAAACTCATCAGATTACTTTCCCAATCTCAACAACAACAGCAACAGCAACAAAACACTAGCAGTAAACAAGAAAAATATCAATCTTCTCCAATCTCAACAAGATCTTCCCTGGATTTAGAAATGGACTGCAAAGCTGCAGCAGATGTTGCTGTTTCAAAGTTCAAGAAAGTTATCTCACTTCTGGGTCGAACCAGGACTGGACATGCTCGTTTCAGAAGAGCCCCTGTACCACCCCCTGCTGCTGCTGTTGCTACAAATACTACTGTTAATCAAAACCAAGCAAATCAAGCGCAAGAAACGAAGGTTTATTACGCAACGCCGATCCAGCAGATTCCACCACCTGTTACTACTTATCAGCCTCATCATCATGATTTTTTCACGGTCAAAAGTGGGGGTTTAGAAAGGAAAGATTCATCAACAACCATCAATTTTTCATATTCTTCTACTGGGAATTCTTTTATGTCATCCTTGACAGGGGATACTGATAGCAAGCAGCCATCTTCATCATCTGCGTTTCAAATTACTAATCTCTCTCAGGTTTCCTCGGCTGGGAAGCCTCCTTTGTCTTCTTCTTCTTTGAAGAGGAAGTGTAGCTCTGAGAATTTGGGTTCTGGAAAGTGTAGTGGTTCTTCTGGTCGTTGCCATTGCTCTAAGAAAAGGTACATATCCATCTATTTCTCTTTCTTTCACAAGTTATTATCAGTTTTAGTTCTTATCGTGTTTACTTTCGTACTGAAGTTTGTGTATTCAATTTTTTGCCTTTGACAGAAAGCTGAGATCGAAAAGGGTTGTAAGGGTTCCAGCAATAAGCCTGAAGATGGCTGATATTCCACCGGATGATTACTCATGGAGGAAATACGGTCAAAAACCAATAAAGGGATCTCCACATCCAAGGTAATTTTCATGAAATCTTCTTTTATCTTTTCTTTTGGGCATAAATTAGTTTGAATGTGAACAAGTTGATTGGTATGCATAGAGTCAACTTTTGATTAGAAATTTTGCATAATTTTCCCACTTTTTCTCACTAGAAATTTCAACATTCAACACTTTCACAACATGTTCCGACTTTTTTCTGTTAAAGCAAAAAATGGTTCAGTTAAGTTTCCCCCAAGTTTTCTCTGACATGTTTTTTTGTCTGGTGTTGAATTATGATTGAACAGGGGTTACTACAAGTGCAGTAGCGTAAGAGGATGTCCAGCTCGCAAGCATGTGGAAAGAGCTTTAGATGATCCAACGATGCTAATAGTTACCTATGAAGGCGAGCATAACCATTCTCTATCTGTTGCAGAAACCAGCAATCTCATCTTGGAATCTTCTTAGAAGGAAGAACATTTCAATCCAACATAAATCCCGCAAAGTTCAATTTCATTTCATTTCTCAACATTTAACTATGGGTTAGGATAAACAGTTTGTAGCAAAATTAGTGGTACTAGTATCAATCTCGAAGTAGACATTTAGTGGGTTCGTTCATTTCCCTGTAAAATATATGCCCAAGCTCTCTTTAATCCTTCCTTCTTTCTCTTTCTTGAACACTGTTAATCAAAGACCCTTGTGAAGAAAAAGAAAGGGAAGATGGTGGATTTGGTATTAGATTTTACAATTATCAAAGAATGAAAGTGGGTTTCAATTCCATTCCAAATTTTCCATGCCATCTTTTGTCTTTGCTCCATCTTTTCTTTTGGTTCTTGTTTCTAGATGCCTACTACTAACTTTAATTTTCTTTTTCTGACATTGGTGAAGCAAATTTTCTATAATTAAATAGTAAAAGAAAGGGACTCAGTCAAACAATTGGAAAGCTGTGGACCAATATGTCGTGTTTGGGACGGTTGACTATAAGAAAAAGAGGTTGGCAGTTGCCAGTTGGGACGGCCAATTAATTACAGGTTGGTGTTGGGTATAGATTTTAATAATTTTATTTCAAAGAGGTCGACAAAAAAAAGATAAAGTTTAAGATTTCAATAAATTTTTATAAAGATAGCAAAGTTTTCAATGCCCATTATTTCTTAATGGGGTTTGTTTGGATTCTAGGAAAAAGGTTGGCTAAATTCAGAGATAACTAAGACGGGGATGGTTGGTCTACAAAAAAGGGGCTTGAAGATCACTCTAATCTAAATGAGAAAAAGAAAATGGGCAAAGTCAAAATGGGTGGGTGGAGAAATTGATAAGTTTCTGGCCTTTAGGAAGGAAGGACCCTACATTTTTGTGCACAATTTTGTTTCTTTGCTTGCTTTGCCTTTCCTCAACGTCAACCTTCCCAAATGAAAATGGTCCCCACTGTCCTTCATTATTATTATTATTATTATTAAATTTTATTATCATTGACAAGTGGATGCCACCATTGACAAACATTATGACATTATTTCAACCCTCCCTACTAAAACAAAAGAAACAACAAGACAAAATACTACTGTGCCCGTAGTGGAATTGTTTGATTCTCTCAATTATTCGAACCAAATGATGAAATAGGCAAGATCCATCTTTTGTACTAGTTTAAGAAGAATCATAAGCTTTTTCCTAGTAATTTCCCCCTCCCTCTCTTAAAGCTTCTAATATTTGTTTTCATGCATATGGAGTAGAAGAATAAATTGTATATAATTAGAGTTGATATTTAAAAGTTATAAATTAAAAAAAATTAAATGCGTAATATTTTTTTAATTAGATATATAATAAAATAAAAAATTTAACAATAAATTAAAAACTAAAAAAAAAAAGTTCTATTTTTCTTTGCCGAGTGACATAAACCATTGTAGAGACCTAGTATATGGACACGAGTAAAAATATTTATTGATAAATTATTATCGTCCTGTTGACAGATGTCTAGGAAATACATAACATGATTAATTAAAATATTATATTTTTAAACAATTGCATTTAATATACTTATGTTGGACTCCTGTACATTACTTTTTAATATATTCATTATTATCATTTATTTATGTAAAACGCATTCATGAATGGTAAAAGCTCATATTTATGAATGATTAAATTATGTTAGGAAGTAATTGATAGAAAAATAATGGAGGCGAGGTGGACATGATTTTATCAATTTCAAGAGAAATTATTCATTAATTATAATCTTTTTCATTTAATAACATTTTAAAATGTTTCAGTATTAAATAATAAGTTTGATTTTTTTAAAATAAAATTTTAATTTTAAATTTTATAAATGAAAAAAATAGATTAAAAAAATTTTATTTTTTATGAAGTTCGTCGATTTTGAATTAATTAAAATTTAAAATAATTATCGATTACCAATAAATTTCATACAAAAAAAAAGTTTCAGCACTTCTTTAAATCATCATCATCATATAATAAACTCAACTCAATTTTCATTTATTCTTTCTGTTGTATCTCAAACCTTGAAAAGCTTAACGACAGAGGAAAAAAAAAAGCATCAACTTTTTTTTTTGGGTCAAATCCTAGCTGTAAATTATAGTGTAAACTTTCGTTGGAATGTCTTCTTTTCTTCAAAGCCTCTATTGACCCACATTCCCTTGTCAATTCATTCAAGTTTCTTGTTTTTCTTTAAGGGAAGTGGTTTCACACTTGCTCCGAGCTAGTTTGAAAACAATCCTTGAAGATAAATTGTGAACAGAAATACAGCGTGGATTCGAATGGATTGATTCTGTTCATCCGATGTTGAAATGACAGGAAACATATGTCAGCTACAAGACACAGATTTTCATGTTTTCCAATCTTCATGTTTACATGTTGCTTTGGATAAGACATATTAGTTGAATTTGCAGTTTACATGAACAGGGATAAGTATTTTCCGGTGTATTTTTGTCTCCATACATGATATATATTCTATTGTGGAAAAGAAAATTGTACAAGGATTGGAATTAATTTTCTCTTGATGCTTGAAAATAATTGGTTGATATATCAAAATTTGGATGAAACTAATAGTATTTATTTATTTATTTTTTAAATCTGTCATATTGGATTACACCAATAAAAAAATAATCTTCTTTAATTTCCTAAATCTCATTCTGTTTATTTTAAGTTTCGAATTTGAAATTTTCAAAATAATTTCTTAATTAAGTTTTAAACGTTGAAATATTTCCTTGGAGACAAAGTGATAATATTTATATAAACATAAAATAACTGTTTTTTAGAATTTTTTTTCTTCCCTTTAGTGTATTTTCCTCACTGCTTGGTTTGTAAAACATTTCTCATGTGATAATAAATTAAAACGCATCAAACTTGGAATGGGAGTAATGCTAAATTAATAATTTGAAATTATGTTATATATAAATGCTTGTTTCAAAATTTTATTACCAAGTTTAAGCACAACATTCAGCATTATTACAAATATATATTTTTTTTCAAAGAAAGTAGCTCTAAAAACTTGAAGGAATTATTATTAAGCAGAGTTGCAGCTAGCCGAAAGGAAAAATCCAACCTCTCATTCTCCATTTTTACTCAAGGATCTATTGAGTTGGGCCTCTTTGATCAATGCAAAAGTACATAGAGTGGCCAGGTTTCAGGCCACAACTAATCCAAATCCATTTGATTAGACCAGCCTAACTTTCATGTCAAACCCCACCTTAAACGCCAAAACAGTGAAACCCAGTATGGCAAATCCTTCAGCTTCAAACCTTTTCGCCTTTCAGCTCTTCGTCGAATAATCCCTAGGCATTGGCGGCGATGGATTCCTTCCCCATCTCCATCGCCCGCCCATGAACAAACGGAAACCGTTCCTTTTCTCTCTCTTAAATATTCCCCCAAAACCACTCTTCTGTAACCCCTTCTCGCTCATGGCCCTGAACCAAACCCAAACCCAAACCCAAACCCGAACCACCCACCCGGATCTACCCCCCAACGACGAGCTCCTTTGCTCCAATCCACAACAGAACCAAGACGAACAGTCTTGCTCTTCTCTTAGCGATACGCCGCCGTCACAGATAGGTTGTCCGGGGAAGTACTTAAGCGGGGAGTCACGAGTTGAGAGGGCATGGGCTCATTGGACCAAGCTTGGGCGGCCGAAGTTAATCGTGGCACCGATGGTTGACAACTCAGAGCTTCCATTTCGAATGCTCTGTAGAAAATACGGAGCCGAGGCTGCGTATACGCCCATGTTACATTCACGTATTTTTACGGAGAATGAAAAGTACCGTAACCAAGAATTTACTACTTGCAAGGTAAAATTTTTCTTTCATTTGTTGAAAAAAGATTTCAGGTTTTTTTTTAAAGAACTTTGGTGTATTTATAATTGCAGGAGGATCGTCCATTATTTGTTCAATTTTGTGCAAATGACCCTGATGTCTTGCTTGAAGCTGCAAGGAGAGTCGAACCTTATTGTGATTATGTCGACATTAATTTGGGGTAAGTTATAACATTTTGAGTTTATGATTTTATTTTAGTGTAGGATGTAGAATACCCTTCATTGGGATGACGCTGAAATATATATGATCATACCTTTTTGCCATTTAAGGAGTAAGAAGCAAATTACAATAGTAATTACGAAATAACTTCTTAGTTGGAATAGCTCGTATATTAATGGTTATGTGGTTTATGTGTAGGTGTCCTCAGCGAATTGCTAGACGAGGGAATTATGGAGCTTTCTTGATGGATAACCTTCCTCTAGTGAAGTCTTTAGTGGAAAAACTGGCTTTGAATCTTAGTGTGCCGGTTTCTTGCAAAATCAGGGTATTTCCTAATTTACAGGATACACTCAAATATGCAAAGATGCTTGAGGATGCTGGTTGCTCTCTTTTAGCTGTTCATGGCCGAACAAGAGATGAGAAAGATGGGAAGAAGTTTCGAGCTGATTGGAATGCCATTAAGGCTGTTAAAAATGCGCTTAGAATCCCAGTTCTTGCCAATGGGAACATTAGGCATATTGATGATGTTCGGAATTGTCTGGAAGAGACAGAGGCTGATGGGGTGCTTTCAGCCGAGTCTCTTCTTGAGAATCCTGCTCTTTTTGCTGGATTCCGAACTGCTGACTGGGTAGCTGATGATGAGAAGGAGAATTTAGATGGAAAACTAGACCAGGCGGATCTGCTTTTGGAGTATTTGAAGCTCTGTGAAAGATACCCTGTCCCATGGCGGATGATCCGAGCTCACGTGCACAAAATGCTAGGAGACTGGTTTCGGATTCAGCCACATGTTAGAGAGGATCTAAATGCACAGTCCAGACTAACATTTGAATTTCTTTACAGTCTAGTGGATCGCTTACGGGAGTTGGGTGTAAGAATTCCACTTTATCAAAAGGATACTTAAGCAGCCAGAAGCTCAGCTGAGGGTGTGGCCATTTGATCCTGACTCAAGTTAATTGAGTTGTAGATGCCTAGAATATGGCGAAAATCAGATTCTGTTTTCAGGTTTATTGCCAACTCTACAATTTGATTTGTTATTCTTTCTTCATTCAAACAATTTAGTCTTCAACCTATCAAAGTTGACTGGCCAAAAAAAACCTATCAAGGTCATGTACAACTAATTAGTGGCGAAGCAAGCTAAAAGAGAGAATGCCCTAATAATTTTTAGTGTAAGATTATGAATTCGACCTTGTTGTATCATCTTCCTCTCAGTGGGATAAACCTTCTTTGAAGCATTGTTTTTTGCTGGAGCACTGAAGACAGTTTATTTCATTTGCTATTGTACTCTGAAATTTTTCGATCTTCTATTAGGATGGTCTCTTTGACTCCTGTTTCAAATGATTAAAAACTCCAATGTTGTTGATGGCCCAAGAAATCTGATTGTTTGGAAACAATAGTTTCAGTTTCTGTGGTTAAGATGCAAATTATTTATTTCATCAACTTCAATAACTAGAGAAATACAGTAATAATCAAAAGCTAATGTTGATTTGGGATAAGTCAATAAGTCACAGGAGCAGTTCTTTTACAATCAATCAAAACACAGGCACAATATCAGTTTGAACAATTATATTCGTATCAAACTTCATCAATGCAAAGTTAAGACGATATCGAGTCAGTGCACGATGAGAGGATGAAAAAGTTTTGGCCAAAAAATAGAGCTCCTATACTACAAAGTTGGTTTGAACTTTGCTAACTAAATGCTCTCCATAAACAGCTTTTTCAAACTTGCGAGTTCCACCACTCCTCCGTACACAGACTTCCAAAGGCTCCATTGCTGCATCATAATTCGGCTGTTTGCAAAAACAAGAATATTCAGGGAGGACCATTTATCATGAAGGATTATTCAAGAAACCAACAGAAGAAGAAGCCAATTTGTAAATTTAACCTCATAAAAGAAGGCAACACAGACTCGATATGTGGGAGAATTATTGATAACTCGATGTAATGTAGACTCATATAAACCATTGGACAGTATCTGTAATTTCACCAAACTTCTTAGCATGATATAATAGACACAACATAGAAATATAAACATTTAAATTCACTTTTAGAATGGAGTCAACGTACCTTCAGCATATCACCGATGTTGCAGACAAAAGTTCCAGGAATTGGAGGAGCCGAAATCCACTCACCAGATTGGTTTCTGACCTACATAACTTATCTAGATTAACCGTTGTTGAAAAATAAAGCAGCAGGTTTTAAAACAGCAGTACATACAAAGATAAACATAGGGCAAAAACCACCGAGCTGTGAAAAATGTGAAGCCATCCAATACAAACTGTTAGGTCTCAAGAAAGAATGAAAAAACCACAGAAAAAGCAACTGGTCTCTGATTTGGTTAACAAAGCAACGATGGGGAAAAATCACGAAAGCAATATTCCGGTCAAGTAGCCACTTTTTTTCTCTATAAATACGAGATAAAATCACTAACATAGCTGCAGTAATCTTTAGAATGACAAATGAAGAAATGTTTTGCTGAGCTAAAAATGAAGAAAGAAAAGGCTAAACATTATAGATGGTTAACTACCTACTTAACTTCCAATCAAGAGAATCTGGTATAATAGATCGGTTCTGTTGATTCCTTAAAACTGGAAACTAGGTGGATCATACCTGAAGTGCAATAATATCTTCATCTTGATTAACCAATGTTAACAAACCTGTTGCAATATTAGAAATCTGAGAATGGTTCTTTAAATCTTTTACACCAGTCATTATCTTGCGTTAAAGAAACTTTACCATAGTCAGTGTGCGCTCCGCTGAATTGTTTTGCCAGAAGACATGTACAGAAGCAAATGAGAAAAAGTAAGGACATACTAAAAGGCCAGTAATAAAGACAAGGGAAAACCACCAGCAATTACGGCCCATTACCATCCAATGTCATTTTCTGGTGTGCATTTGCCATTTGCAGTTGATGCCTCTGGGTAACCAATAAGACGAAGCACCCAAAATGCATCACCACCTCTTTCACCTTCAAATTCACCCGGTAATCCACCCAATGCTAGAGCAATTCCCCGCATGATTTTTCTTGAAAGTTCTGTCAGCACCAAGAAAACAAAAGTTGCCATGAATTTGAGCCAAGTAAAAATATTAGAGGAGAAAGAGCACAAATACTTGCCAAAAAAGGAAGCATGCCTGTGCAGAGGCTAATGTACTCCTCCATCAGTTCTTTGAAGTTTTGAGGACTATCTGGCCTGTCAAATACAATGAAAGGACAGATCAACCTCATTATGTACCATAGCCATCTACTATACTGTCAATAACTTGAATTTCAAATGGAAACAACATCAACACTTAAACTGAACTTCCAAACCTTCAGACCACCTACTAGATGCTCACATTGTTAGTACCATTATTCCCAAGAACTTGCCAAATCAGTTATCATTGTGAGACAGATGTAAAACCTATTTGCAATTGATTAGGCCCATTTATTTTATTACTTACAGATTCATTAAGAGCTACTGGCCCTAGCAAATTTTATGTCTTTGTACAAAAAATTTCACCTTAAGATTGAACTAAGTCCCTTCAAAAGTTTATCAATCCCAATATCACGATAATATTTACAGCTAATACTGCAGACTGCAGAAGAAACTTATTGCGAAACCACTAATTCTTTTCACATACCATTGATTGCATCCTTCCATGGGTTTGCCAAGAGCTCCATACATCCCTTGTTTTAGTTCTTTATAGCACTGTTACACAAAAACACATACAAATCAGTGTTAGAATAAGTAGTAGTTGGTACAGCAGCAGCACTGCGTGTTGCTTCTGGGAATAATTTCCTAACACTTAAGTGCATATGCATGCATATACGTGCAATGCAACCTGTCAAAGTTAATCTTGAATAGTTAGGTAAAAAAAAAAAAGATATCATTGAGATAACTAAAGAAATAATATAACACGCTTCAGAAAAACCTTGGTTTCAGGACTGCACTGAGATAGTTCACACAAAGAACCTATTGGGATTTCATGTTCCACAGTATGGTTAGTAGCTCTAGAAATTTATGAGATGATTTACTGATATTAACTACATGGCACAGCAGAGAACTTCTATGTCGAAGGTGCAAACACATTCTTGCCATATTAGGGACTTGGTTAACAAGCCAGCTATGGATATTTTAGACAAAACAAAACACATGAAAAATTTCCCCTGCAATTTTCACTGCATCTGTCCGTTTGCAATAAGGAAATCAATCGCCACCCAGGCTATATAGATAGGGATGTACTGTAAATGAAATGGTGGAACAAAAAGTAGCTAAGCACCACCCACATCAATAGCTTCATGCATATCAGGCACGCCTTTGGTTATGTTTTCTCCTATTCTCTGGTATCCCCTGCATTCAAATGTCAGCTCAATGAGTCAACAACTTCCATTTAAACTAGTCAAAAATCTTTAAACCACTAACATTGACATATAGACGCTGCTTCACTAAACAAACCTGTATCCAGCAGCTGCTGTCATCTTGATCTTGAGTTTTTCTTCATATGGGAGATCAAAGAATTTGTGTGTTATATTTCTAACCTCTTTCACTAAGGTCTCGGGGATACCATGACCCTTCTGGCCAATCAGAAAGCATACAATTCAAAATAAATAAATAAAAAAAAACAGTGACATGTCAGGCTACCAACATGATATACAGAAAACTTTAGTTTATACGCATAAATATCAAATGCTCCATAATTTCAGCTATGAAAAATTTTAGGGGCAAATTTTCAAATCATAATCAGATTTTAAGCTCTAAGATGCCAGAACCCAGAAACTTAAAAACACCCTAGAATCTTTAAAGAACAGAGAAATAGAATCACAGGCCAGAAGTGAAAATTTTACCACATAGAAGAACCCAGCCTCTCTGCAAGCCTGATCCAATTGCTTAACAATTTCAGATACACAAGGGTCTTGAGCCATTTTTGGATCATCCCACTTTGCCAACAGAGGAGCAATATCTATATCAAAATTTAACTAGCTTAAGATTTTCAAAATTACAAACTTAATCTGTACTGACCATTTTCCTTATGCTTTGGGTTTAAATTAATCAAACCTTTCTTTCTTTTGTTTGATAGCCAGACTCTACATTCAAATTGCTGATTCGAATTTCAATCAACTTAGAACTTAAAAAATAACATAGACAAAACCAACTGTTTCTGTAAGTAAAACTTGTCTTGAAGAGCATGCAAATTAATCAAATATATTAGATAGATAATTTAGAGGAACAGAAAATCAGGGGATACATAATTTACCGATAATCGGGATGGATTTGAAGTCGGTGGCCATGGATGGATGGAGTTGATGATCCTCTGTTCTTCACTTCTTCTCTCTATCTCTGAATGTCACTCAATTAACAAAGATTTTGACAAAAAAAGAACAAAAAAAAACTGACTTCACGATAAGCGATGACAAAGATTCGATGAATTGTTTTTGAAATTTTATTTTTATTTAATTTTGGTACATGAAAATACGAGAAAGTTAGACATGTTTTATTTTTGTCTTTATCCAATTTGCTTTTGTTGCAATGGAATCCACGTCCGTAACGAAACTGCCAAACCTTTAAGTTTTAACATTTACGGAAGTCAATTTGACGGCCGTAACAAATCCACTTTACACAAATTTTTTATTTATTTTGGTTTTGTCACCTTACTTTAATTCAATTTTGCACAAACAAGTTGCAGTGACCTAAAGGCTAAAAGCTATATTTGAAAAAATTATGCAATTTAGTTGAATTTTTAATTTTATAATTAAGATTTAAATTTTAATAATTTTAAAATAAAAAATTATGCGAGATAAATAATTTATTGTGAAATTTGCTCATCAAATTGATGCATTGAATATCCGTATTATGATCAACGAGATCTTGTGTCAATATCTAAAAAAAATTATGTATTTTTTAAATTTAGATTCAAAACTTACGATATTGAAGTTTATTTAATTAATTTATTGGTTTATTATTCAAATCTTTACTACTGAAAAACAATGAGCTTGAGGAAAATGTGATTTAGTGTTAATCTAAAAGTTGGCTTCTCATTTGATTTTAAAAACTTTGAAAATTTTTTTTTCTTAAGGCTTTTTCACAAATAACTTTGAGAAAAATAAACAAAACGCTACACCACTTTCACACTTTTTATTTTGGCCTGAAGGCACTTTTATACATATTTAAGCTTAAACAAGTAATATTTATTCTTATCTCAAAGTCTGGTCATCGCTTTGAGTCGAGGAAAACTTAAAGAGTAATTATATATGACAAGCTTGGAATGTGAATGAGCTCCCACATATTAACATAGTCTTGATCTTGCTTATCAAATGCTCCCCATAAACAGCTCTTTCATTCGTCCGATTTCCACCGCACTTTTCCACACGTACTTCCAATGGCTCTACTACTGCATCCGAATTTCCCTGTTTCAACAATATCGGTCAGCAAGGGAAACAATAATTTATATATATAAAAAAATAAATTTGATGATTTATATATTTGTGTTACATTTATTTTATGTTAAATATAAATTAAATATAAAATTATGTATTATAATTTATATCGATATATTAAATATAAAATATAAAATATTATACTTTTTAAATCAATACATGATATTTATCAAAATTTTAAATTATGTAACTTTTATATTATATTTAATATCATTTTTATGTTGTGTCTAAAATTATCATATTTAAAAAATATAATTAAAATTAAGAAGCTGATTCAATTAGAAAAATTGGTGACAAATTCTACTAACCTCGTAAAAATAACCGACGGAGACTCGATATTTTGGAGAATTGTTGATTACTCGATGCAGAGTTGCCTCGCATAAGCCATTGGACCATATCTGCATCAACACCTCTCTCGCAGGATTAATATTTGTAAGAACAATATTGATCCAAGAGATTATGTCAAACAGAATTAATTAAGGTTAATTTAAACCATAATTAACAATTAGGAGATATTCGTCTACCTTCAACATGTCACCAATATTGCAAACAAATGTTCCAGGAATTGGAGTAGCCGGTATCCACTCACCAGACAGGTTTCTCACCTTCAAAGTAGCATACAAAATTTTTTTCAAGTAAACAAACAGATAGTGGTTTAGGTATAGATTTTAAGTTCAATTCTTAATTTTTTTATATATATATAATTTTGTTTGGTTGACTGGTAAAAAATTTTTAAGTTTTGATCAGTACATTATCTTTTCAAATCAATTCAAATAAGTTTATTTACGTGAAATTTAATAAATTTATAAAAAAATATTTTTTTTACAATCTCTCGATAGATTCAGACCTAAGCAGCCAAGAGATGAGAAAACTCTCTTGCCACTTAAGCCAATTTCTGCATAATTATTTTTCACTAGTTGTACTTAACTTATTTGTGAAGGAATTATAGATGGATTTAAGTATTAATATAATGGCAATATGATTATAGTGGGTACCTCAAGTGCGGTAATATCAATCATCTTGATTAATCAAAGACAGCAAACCTGTTGAGAATAAAATATTAAGAAGATTGAGAATATTAATTAATGTTTGCTATGAAAATCTTGTTGAGCGACTCGTCATCTGAACTTAATAGTTGAAAGTTTACCGTAGTCGGTGTGAATCCCACTGATGATAATATTGTTTCCCCGCAAGCCATAAAGATAAAAACAAATGAAAAGAACCCAAAGAGCCCAAAGCTTAAGTAATTAATAAAACAGCAAAGAGATAAAGAAAAAAGCATGCATAAATGTAAATTTAATTAGGCTTATATATACCATCCAATCTCGTTTTCTTTCATGTGTTGTACTCCGCCAGGGTAACCATTGAGACGAACCATCCAAAATGCATCTCCACCCCTTTTACCTTCGAGCTCATCAGGTGATCCCCCCAATGCCAAAGTTGTCCCTCGCATGATTTTTCTTGAAAGATCTAATGGAAACTCCAAGGAAATTACCAATTAATTTACTGGTCAATTAGCTATATATACATTGGGGAAGAAAGGAAATCGATTTTAATTTCCAAGGCAAAATCAAGCATGCCTGTGCAAAGGCTGAAATACTACTCCGTCCTCTTTTTGAAGTTCGGAGGATCCTGTGGCCTGTAAATATATAATATTTTATCAGAAGATATAAGCTAGAAGCCAACATCTTGTGATGGATTCATAAAATGCTAGATTTTTAGTTCTAATGGTCAAGATTCTTAACAGTCTTAAGGATAAAAAAAATAGAACTAAAAAAACAAATTAAAGATTATTCATCCTGGATTTATACTCCATAGAAGTTATATGACATTAGTAAAATTTAAAATGTTTTTCAAAGTTAGAATTGTGAACACTGATTTCCATACTTACCATTGGTTACATCCGGCCATTACCTCACCAAAGTTTCCATAAGTCCCCTTTTCTATTTCTTTGTAGAACTGTAATCCAAAAGAATGACATGTAATTAGTAAGTACTTACAAACAACAAATATGGATTATAAAGCAATTGGAAATCACGAAGCGGTTAGAACAATATTGTGTGACACCTACGTCGACAGCTTCCAGCAAGTCAGGCACACCTTTGGTTATATTTTGGTTAAGTTTTTCGTATCCCCTGCATCCAAATCGTTAGGGTCAGGTCCATATATCGTAAATGCTATAGTATTAATTTCAAAAAGCCAATTGATTAACCTGTATCCCGCAGCAGGAGTCATCTTGATTTTGAGTTTTTCTTCATAGGGAAGATTGAAAAACTTGTGAGTCATACTTCTGACCCCTTTCATGAGTGACTCAGGGACGCCATGACCTTTCTGGTCAATGATGAAGCATACAAGTTAACACATTAAAAATTTTTTATGAATAACATTTCATCACCTTCATGGAAAGGAATGCTTAATTCTCCATTTTTTTTAAGAACAAAAAGAAGAGAACCCCTGGTTGATTGCAAATATATAAGTACCACGTAGAAGAAGCCGGTTTCCCTGCAAGCCTGACCGAGTTGCTTAACAACTTCAACTACTGCAAGATCATGAGCCATTCTTGGATTGTCCCACTTGGCCAACAAAGGAGCAATATCTATATATACATCACCAGAAAAAACGAACGAAGTGAAGATTATATACAGTCATAATCAATATTAATTAAAAACAACTATATATATATATAGTATTAGATAGTTTAACAAAAAAAATTCATGCAGGCAATACAAATCAAACCTTAAAAGCAACAGTTTCAGTACAGGTAGATCATTGATGTCTAAATGCAAAAGCATGATGACTTAAACCCAAACATCGATATATTAGACAACAATGGGAATCAATTAGGAGCTTAATCAAATACTACCAATTACGGGAATGAATTCGAAGTTAGTTGCTATGGTGCAGATTGTAGAAAGCATGCAGCTGTTGGTAGAATGCATTCAAAACGAAGCTTTATCCAAATAAATAGATGGAAAATTCAACGTCAACTTCCTGCTTTATTGAACGTGCCTTTGAATCATGGTGGACGGGAAAAAAAAAGAAAATGAAATTAAGGATTTAATTACCGATGATGGGGATGGACTTGAAGTCAGTTGCCATTATCGTCGATTCTCTACGAACTCCTGGGTTGAATGTTTTCAGCTTTTACAGCTCTCTCTCTCTCTTTTTCTAATCTTTTCCTATAAATCAGTTGAAAGCTTTGAAGCTCAGATATTGCAAGTGTTAATAAACAAAACTTGTCCATGATATAGATCTGATGATAGAATAGTACTCACTATTGATAACCGAGATTCCCGATTATTCACGTGCTGTTTTTTTTTTTTTTTTTTTTTATATTAAGCAATGAAACGAAAATGCTGGCATGATAATTCTGTTTTTTTGGAAAAGAAATTTCGGACATTTCTCACTCATTTATAGAATTTAGAAGTTGTAGTCCTATTGCATTTACACCATTTAATTGGAGTTTTTTACCTAATTATTATGATTTATAATTGTTACACCTAAGTGAATTAGTTATTGGTTAAAGCTAGGTCGACGTAGCTACCTCTTTGGGTCCACTAGACAATCATGTCATTTGCTTCCGAAAAAATGGCTCGCCCGTTATTGAAGGAAGGACTCGTCTAAGGTCCCACGGATATCCAGTCCAGGTAGTTATTTAAGAATTGATTACCTGGCATTTAATTTATTTAAAATTATTAAATACGATTCACGAATGCTTGAAATCATTAATTGTAATTAATAGTTATTTATGTAAACTTTTTTCAAGTTCTATGCAAATATTTTATTAACTGTCAATTGTATAAATTAGGTAACTGTCACTTAATCTTATACATAAGACAAATGAAAAACCATACAGAAAAGAACAAATAAGAACACCTAACCCTAAGATATTTTAAGGTTTTCCCTCCATTTAAGTGCCGCACGCACACACATAATTGTCATAATAATTTTGAGATCGTTAGATAAAAAAATTATAAAATTGAGAAAATATGAAAAGTCGTCACCAATATTTTTTGTTAAGTGTGATTGGTTACCTTAAAAATTTATTTTTTAATAAAATAAT